CCCCAAAACCCCAAAACCCCAAAACCCCTTATAACTCCTTCAGGCAGATTTATTCAAAATATCACCCCATTTTCTGAATCACCTTGGCAGCAACCTTATGTCCATGTCTAATAGAGTCTTTGTAAGATTGTCCATTAAGGTGGCCATAAAAGAAGCCACCGATAAAGGTATCTCCAGCACAACAAGTATCAACAACCTGCTCCTTTGTCAATAGCTCACTTTCCTCAAATACCTGAAGATGAGTATCTTTTTCAAAGTCATACTCATCCAGGAGAGCACCTTCCTTATCCATGGACATTAGTACAACTCTTTTGTTCTCTTTATTCTTTTTGTAGCTGAAAGATTGTTAAACACAGATAATGGAGAATTTACCTGGAAATTTTGTTCAGCATTTCCTCCTTAGTTTCATAAGTAATCCCCATAAGTGTAGCAAGTGTCTTGAACTCATTGTAGTTACCGAAGAGCATGTCGCAGTAAGGTAGGATTTCAATAAACTTGTCAGTCCAGTTCTCGATCCAGTGCTCTCCTCAGAGGTTGAATGTGAATACCTTCTCATTCTCTTCAGCATACTTATAAGCCAGAGTTATAGCTTCATAATTACTGGATACGAAGAAACCTATCCAAAAGGTTAGATACAATCAAAAGATATTTACCTTCGACGTAAAAGACGTCGGATTCTGACAAAAGATGCATATTGTCTCTAAAATGTTGAGTTTGATAGAAGTTATTAACCCCTCAGTTAGAAATCGGGGTTCTTTCGCCCTCGATGACCATGACAGCACATCTGCCTGTGAATTTATCCTTCTGCTCGTTGAACTTGTATTGGATTCCTTCTTCATCAAGTAATCCTTTTATTCTACCTGCTTCTTCATCTTTACCGATAGTTCCAAAGTAAAGAACAGAGTTTGTTTTATCCAAGTGCTTTTTCATCATGAAATTGATAGCTCTGATCGTATTTATAGCAGAGCCTCCAGGCATTTCCATATAATCAGGAGCTGCTTCTAAATCTTTAAATACAGGAAGCTGGTCTTCAGAAACATCTCCTGGAGCTCCAAAGGTGATTCCGTATTTTTCCAAGATGTCTTTAGTTTCAAAACTGGCATAACAATCTATAAATGTGTTGCCAAGAGCAAAGAAAATGGGCTTAGATGAAGCTTCTTCCATTTTTGACAGAATTTTAAAGTAATTTTATAATCCAATCTCTCAGAAATCTTCAGGGGTTTTGGGGTTTTGGGGTTTTGGGGTTTTGGGG